TTAATCGGAATAATAATTCTATTCACCTACAATTTTACATCGTTAATAATAAAAGCGTGGTATAGCTAAATAACGTAATCGATTAATTTAATGACAAATTAATTTCATAGCATTCATTAATAATGTAAAATGTATGATGCATTATCTTTTTTAATTTTCTGTTTATTTAATTGCATTGTCGTATGTTTAAATCGTTTTTAAATTTATCGTGGGCACCCCACGCTCTTGTTAATAAATTATCGACACGGAGAGTGAGACGGGCTCTGCAAAAACTATATAACATTTTTATCGCCCCCTTAAAATAAAAATGCAATTAAAATATTTATTTATAAATAAAATAATAAAATGCAACGCTTTTGCATTTTTTCTGTTAAATTACCGGATATTTTTAGGTATCACATTAATAGATATAAGTTAAATCTTAAATTTTCATCAAAACACGAAAATCTTGATAATTTTAATAACTAATGCTGCTTTATTTAAGATGGAGCAATTATCTTCCTTACCCCAAAAATTCTGTTATATCGCTGCTGCATAAAATTGTTTTAAATTAGTTTAATATTAAGCTGGTAGCAGGCACGGGTAAATGACTAGTATCTGCAAAATGGTTCTCGAATTGAAAGTTTAGAGTATAGGAAAACCGAAGTTCTTGTTTCTTAACTAATTAGAGCCTACTGAGTATTTGGTAAGCAGAAATTTTATTCCTTATGGATAGTATAAAAAGTTAATTTTATATTAATAGAAACTTCCCCACATTCTCCCTGAAAATCTTCATGAAACTCTGCACCTCATTTTAAGGAATTTGCTATTGGAAATCTATAACTTAACATATTATTTTAGTAAATAAAACGAGTAGTAATATTTTATGAACGTCTTCCGCAGTTTTTGAAGTAACCTTTGACAATATTGTGTTGACTTTTAATACATTTTCTTTTAGGTTTCTAGAACTTTTCCCGATAAAGAAAATTTCAGCATTTCCAATAAATGACCCAAAACATAATCGTAACAGAAATAATATAGGTAAATGCCCCATAAAAGATACGAAGATAAAACTATTTTCATGTTGCACAAGGCCAACACATAAGGTCTTGCTCTCGTTAGAAATAGGTTGAAGAACTCAGCATCAATTTGCTAAAAGTAATAATTTCAATAACATCATGTCTTTCTTGAAACAGAAACTTGCCAATAAGATTGGAAGAAAGGCATTTTTGTATGTTATCTTGCTCAATATGTAAGATTTATCCTGATTTTAACAGTTATTTTAAGTTAACGCTCCTTTAATATTAGTTCACAATTTCCTACCGGAATGTGTTTTAAGAATCGCGATTAATGCAAATGAGTAAAAGTAGTATTTAAGTTCCACTGACTTCGAGAGACAGCCTCGGAGTTTCTGACTAGCGCGCGTTTGCCTTTTGGCCACGTCTCTCTAAGCTGTTACTCCCCTCTGTTACTGAACTTAAGCAATTATTCGCTTAGCTGTTCACGAGGTTCCTCCATACTCATTTAAATGTTAGATAAAAGGGCGGAACCCCACAAATATAAGCCCAAATATCTGAAATACATATTTTTAGAAGGCTTTTGATAAAGAATTAAAAAGAAAGGAAATGTTTGAAATGAATTTTTTTTGGCAGTATCTTATTATTTTAAATGAGAAATATCCTCTGCTACTTTTAAATTTATTTTGCTTTCAAAATGTCACATGTAAACAAGCAATAAACAAAATAATAAGACAAGATTAACAACTTAAGCTTCAGTTCAGAACAATTTGTAGAACCCTGTATGAAAACTGTTCAACAGGAGGTAAATGAAAATACATTGTGACTCTTGATAAATCCTGGGATTACCTAAGGGACTGTAACCAAGAAAAGTCTATTTATTATAGAAAACGAAACGAAAAATTTAGAGAGCTGGTTGCATCAATGCAAAGAAAGTTTCAGTAAGCGGTTTGTATTTGTCATAGAATTATCTTTCATTGAGAAATTAAAAATAGGAAGAGTGGAGAAAATTATTAAAAATCAATTCAACGTCCATTTCTTCGTCTCAGTGTAAGAGAGTGGAACCTTATCACACACACACACACACACACACACACACACACACACAAAAAAAAAAAAAAAAAAAAAAAAAAAAAGCAAATGTTCATGCTGCGAAAAATACTAGTGCATTCCTTCCAAAGTGAAGACTGATACAAGTGTTGCATATTCACATTTTCAACGTACTCCTACAAAGTCCCCGGACGTTTCTCATATGGACTGTTGTGCTTCTGATATCTTGAAATTCAATATTCACGGCAATTTTGAGAAAGGACGTTCTGTCTTGTAAATCATGATTCAGATTTATAGTCCAGAAAACAGGCCTTCAGATCGAACATTTAAAAAACTACTCTTTACATTTTAAACATTAATTAAAGAGCCTCGGAATCGTTCCATTACAGGGCCCCGAATCGTTTCTAGATTGCGGTTGAAGCTTTTAATGTTGTGCGAATATAAATAAATAAAAATTTGAATAAACATTATTTTCTAATCTAGTTTTATATATTTTCGGGGTTTTAAGGAATTTTCTCAACACTCTTGTCTTTTTGTACGGTTTGTATAGTTCATAGAAACAACTTTTACATTGTAATGATATAAGTTTCTGTAGTTTTCCAAATGACTGTTTAACTTATCTGTACTACAAAGTGATGATTGCATGAAAAGGCTTAAGCAGCTTAGAAACTTTTCATACGGATTAAAAAAAAAACATTTTTTTTTCGCAGTCACGAGGAAATTACCAACACTCAGAATTATTCATGAGAAGAAGAATATGCATCTTAGTGAAAGTACATTTCTGATATTCCATTGCGTTAAGCACTTCCTGGGTGAATATTTTAAACAAGGAATTTTTTGTAAGCTTCATGCAGTTTTGTGTCTTAATATATTTTATCATTTTAGAAAATCTTTTTCTAAAGACATAAAGAATAAGTTAATAATAAACTGGAAGCAAAAATTAAAAGATTCCACAATTCATTCGAAAAAGTTCTAAACAATGCAGTTTCTTAAATTACATTTTAGATAATGTACAGCAAAAGAAACCTCTAATCCTATTTTAAAGTAATAGTTTAATTATTAAAATTAAAGTAAATTATTTTAGCTGGAATGAACAATTGAAGTAAAATTTAATACTTAAAGCAATACTCGCAAGGATTGTCTGATAAAGGACATTCTAGTATTATGAATTGGAATGGATTATTTGAAGGAGGCTAAAATACACAAGGCTTACCTGCTTAACGGAAGAAATGTCTTATGGAAAAACCATAAAAACCCCATGTAGTTAGCTTGTTCTCCAAGATTTCAATTTGCGAACTACTACAGTGTCAAATAAATTTACTATTTGGCCGCTAGTGGACCCTAGTCTCACGAATACTAATTCAATTTTACAATATATAGAAATCCTATGGAGTGAATTCCTTTCTCCATTGAAGGCTCTACCAGTAGATAAGCAGATGACAGTTATAATTCGATCCAGCATTGAATTCCGACGAACTGGCTGACTGCATAGACGTTTTTATGGCGAAGTGTAATCTGAATAGGAATCGGTTTCTTTTAGATAATTCTCAACCAAGCCATCACTAGGCAGAGAGATAGCTCTAGTGTGCTTTGCAACAATCAAATATTCAATCAAACCCTCAGCTATTGAAAATAAACGTTAGGTAAGGTAAAGTAACGCGAATTTTGCAGCTGGAAATTCTGGAAGCAAAAGCCTTGACTAAATTTAATGGGAAATGGTTTAGTAAAATAGTCTATAACTAAGTTATTGTTATTTTAATAAAGGTCCCTTTATCCGCTTTACGCTGTTTTATAATTCAAATTTATATTTCCTATAAATATATTGCTTACGTCTGTCAGTGTAGCAAACTTTTTAACCCTTTTACCCCGCAGTAAATCAAACTACGTGTTCATTACAATAACAGGAAGGAAGATAATCAAATTAAAGCCCTTATTAAGACACGTAATGCAAATAACATAAAGCAAAGTCCGAATAAATTAAGAGTAATAAAATTTACTACGTATTAGCTTATACGCTGGAGTATAAGCAAATAATTTTCCCTTTTAAATTGCTTCTTTGAATATAGTGTCTGTTTTATATGCACTGATTAGCATTATAAAATATATTAGGATAATTTATCACTTACTTTCTAGTTTGATATATGAAGCACTTGATGTTATATATGTAATATTTTAGTATTTACAATGTTATTTATTATCTAAGTGTTTAATAGAGGAGCAATATTGGAAGAAAATAATTCAATAAACTTTACTTATAAAATTTTTATAACTAAGCTATTAGTTTTTTTAATCAACATATAATAAAACACAGAATTTCTTATCTACTTTTACCTGTGATAATTTCAGTACTACACTCATATTGATAAAGAAAATAAAATAGCTATATTCCTTACGCTATAATTAATAGTTATACTTTTTACAACTCTATTACTATAATTCACATCATCAGAATTTTGAACAGTTTTCCTCTGTAAAAGATCAAATTTCGTGTATTAAACGAAAAGAAAATTATTGAATTTTCCTCAAAATTCTGAAATATTTTAACCATCTTTCTTCTAGAAGTTTGCACATGAAGTTCTTCAACCTGAAACTGCGTTTTTGTGCAAACTCTTTTCCCCCTCATGATCACCTTCAAAAATGTACGAATATCTTACATTACAGGGAAAATGCAGAATTTTTAAATCTATCAAAGCATGGTTTCATTTTCATATAAATGCTAATAATTTTAACTGTAAAGAATGAAATCGGGATAAATTGCAAAACTATGCATAAAATATTAATTACAGATAACTGAGGAATATTTACGTTAAATAGGCGCTTACAATACTTTTATATAACTGTGCCAATGAGCGCTATTTGGGTAGATTTGCAGTAATTAGGAGAATCAAAGGAAAAAAGAGTGGGATATTATAACAATCCATTCAAATCACTGATTAGCTAAGGGAAAATACTCACCACTAGCATCATATTAATTCCTTTGGAAGCATCCTCCAGTAACTGAACTCAGACCAGATTTGTGCTTTACTAAAACTGAAAACAAGTTAAAAAAGCAAATCCGTTTCTTCCGCCTCCGACGTGTGACGTCACGTGGAAGATGACCTGGAAGAGCAACAATGGACTTTTGAGCGAAGGAGACGAGCCGAAGAAGTAGCTTTTCTTCCTTTTTTCCCAGACACCTTTTCATTTGACCTTTGTTCTACATCGGCCAGAGAGGAAAAAGTGGTCTCTTTGGAAAAGATGGGCCGTTATCGGTAGCTCTCCTAATGCGGCAGAAAAGAATGACTATCATCGAAGTCATCACTTGTAGAGATGATTTTTCATTCTTTCTTTCTTTACTTTTTATTTGAGAGCATCTTCGAAGAATAGGTAGGTATTTTGGGTGTAAGGGGTTATTCCGAAAGTTAAAAAAAGGGATTATATCGCTTATAGAAGGCAATCAAGAGGTAACTGCTAAGGGATATATTTAACTGCTTTGGTTTCCTAGATGCATATTTATAAAGCGTGATGGCATTTGTTTCCGAGTGCAATGGAGTTGAACTTTGTGATGCATCATTGCAATGAAATTGATACTGTTTTATTTATATTTATAATTGCTTTTCTGGGGACATTTTTATTAAGAACAGGAAATCCTTAAATTCTTTTTTCATTAGGAATAAATACACAATGCATGTTACTATTATCTAGACCAGTAAACAATGCATTGTTTAGCATTGTTTAGCGAGTTCAAGTATAATTTTCTTTGTATTATTTTGTAATTAAGACATTAACAGAATATCAGCTTTCTGTTCTACTTAGCTTATTACATGTATATAAATGCTTTTTCCTTCAAATGGTGAAAATGCATTTTATTACGCAGATGAACTATGGAAGAGTTTATTCGTAAGGTTTACACTACAAAGGATAAAGTTATGAATGCACATTGCGAAAAAAACATTGGGACAGTCCTGAATCTCTTGTTCTACTGGACTGATTGACGAAATTCAAATTGCATTTTTTATCTCTCGAAAGCGCGACTTTTTCTGAATTCGACTTCCGACTTTTTCGGATTTTTTCTGAAATAACATACCATGTTTTTCCATATTTCTATTCTACGATTCAAATTATGCTTAAATATAAAATTTGGTGCAAAATTTACTGAGAAATTCACAAATTTATCTTGGATTACTTTTTTCAGTTTTCGCCAAGATTAATTTATTTGGCGAACTTCTTAATATATGGCAACCCATTTTCCTTTCCCTTCCATAGTGCAGGACCGGAAAAAAAGATACATGTTCCTAGCTTTTTGCATTGTGCATGAGCGGAAAAAATGTCATATCGTTCCTCCTTTCAAATAATTTTAAAAGTGCTACCACTTTTTAATTATCTTCACAATATTGCCAATTAAAACCCCTAATCAGCGATTCTAAAAGAATAAAACTGATTTTTTTCAGGTGTTATCAGGTTCAATGTTCCGTCTTACTTTCTTTGGAACATGCAAGGACCTGACTCGGAACAGAGAGCTTACTAAAGCTATGTTCAATAAATGTGGGAAGTAGACAGGATACACAGAAGGGTATACAAAACCCTTTTTTTTTCTCTCTTTACAATAACTTCCGTACTTCGGAATACAAGACCAACTACTTGTGGTCTAAACGTAAGAATATAAAAATATTTAACTAAACTCTAATTTAACTTTGGAATAATAAACGTGGAAGATTGGCCTTATATTAACAGGAAGCCGTATGTAGTACAGAGAACTGTGAACACTACAATACGTTTAAAAATTATCAAGAGGATTAAAACCTCTGGCCTGGAAGGCAAACCAGCAACTGCGTAAAACTTCTAAGGTAAGCGGCCTGCTTCGACTAACTCCTTCCTCTCTCTCGCTTGGCAAAAAGCCACAACTTAAATACTTGGCGTTCGCCAGACAAACTTTGCATAAAAACCTTAACGCTTATAATTCTGGCCGGAAGTAGAAAATAAGAAGTGATAGTAAAGATTTAAAATAAAATAAACGTTAGTAAAACTTAAGATCCTTACATACTTCCCGCCAGAGTTAATTAGTTTGAAACTGAGGTCTAAAACGACCTTGTTGAAAACTTTTAGCTCTAGAATCTAACGCGAGGCCAATCTTTTACAAACATTTCTCGCTAGAAACTAGAAATTTAAAAAAAGAAATTGTTTTTACAATAGCAGCTCCCAGGACAACCAATTTTTTTCATCTGTACTGCATCTAAACAGGAGCTTTTATTCAAATCTGGTTCCTTCCAGAGATCTGGAAGGAAAACTAGTTTAATGAAATGTTACACAATGAAATGGCAAGTAACATGCATATTTATATTTCTCTTAACATTCTTATTTCATTCATGACTATTTTAATTATCTCTCCCCGTGCTCTCTGACATGTGTTGTAAAAGAAAACACCAAACACGAATGTGTTTATGTCTACGTGTTCAACACTTCCTCCTACAATCAAAACACTAACGTGTTAAAATTCAACATAACAAGACCTCGTAAACACACCCTAATTTCAACTCTAAACCCTGAGGTACTATTCTGAAAGTGGCTAACTCTGAAGTGTAGCGTCAGAGAGCCTAACTACATTCATTCAACCTTTAACACATATTCACCATGATTTGGTCTTTTTACAGTCACACACACGAATAAAAAAATTTTTTTAACATTACTTTCACTTTTACCATATCACGGTATTTCTTAACATTTAAAATAACAGTTCACATTGTATATAAGAACATATTAACATGCCGTTAATTTTACACATTTGAAAACATACATTAGTAGTACATTGTTAACTTCTATTCTTTTCAAAGCAAGTGCCAATTCTTTCTACATTGAAATACTACATTTCAAAAAGTCTTTCAGACTAAAACTTCTTTCTTGCCAGAATGTTTAAAAAAAATAAATTTATACAATAACTTTTTACAATATTTAAGTCTTTACACATTCGCTATTATACATCAACTTTAGTTTTACACGCGCGAGTAATTGAAAAACATAATACCAAAATCGGTAACAACTCATTTCTCGCCCTTTTTGGCGATAAAGGTAGACCTCGCATGAGGTAAAACTTCTTGAAATCTGCCACTTGCAGTAAGAATGAAAGATTAACTTAAGTTTGCAAAGTAACATAAAATTTTACTTATCTTTGTGATATTCGGACATTCTTTTCTGGGCCCAGTCTTTGGAAAGGTAGCTGCAGATTCTAGTTTGATTTATCCTCCTTCTTGTACGGGCTCGCCCTTCAGTGCCTTCCTCTGGAAGCTTTCTTTTTTCCCTCCAGTTCGGTCACCCTTGAATACCTTCTTTTTCGCCTCTGCCTGTGGTCTTGGCCGTTTGATGGCAGCTGGTCTTGGCGGAACCGGGAAACTTCTTTCGTGTTCCTGCTTGGACCTCGTTGCTGGCCGTTCAAATTTTCCTTGTAACTTTTTTCCTCCGCCGCTGGTGGCCCTTCCGCAGTTCGGCGACATTTGCTGCGGAGAGTCCTGTCGGATGAGTAGATCTTCCGTTTTAGAGCCGGGTTATAGTTGCCGTCATTTCTCCTGGCTTCTCTTTGCATACGTCGTCCTTCTCCCTTCTTCATTCTGGGGGTGTTCGTGAAGCTCTCTTTTCTGGACGGTGGAACGGCTTCTTTTTCTTGTTACCTTCAATTTTTCCCGCGGGGAAACTTTCTTTTCACTTGCTCCTGCTCTCTAATGGCTTGCCCTTGTACTTGTCGTTGTTCCACCTCTGGAGCTTGTGCCTGCCGTCTGCCGTGCCGGATCCTGCAAAAGATCTTTGAAAAGATTTGCATTTTATTACGATCATAGTAGGGTTTGATTTGATCAATGTTTGCGGAAGCAGGTTTCACATTCACCATTTCTGGCTTTTAACACTACTACAGCGTGAGTTATTTTTTTCTATGACATATGGTCCTTCAAATCGTGGAAAAAATTTGGCAGTTTTATCTTCTGGTGCTGAAGAAAGTGAATGCTTAATTTTTAACACTTCATCCCCTACTTTATAAGTTACTCCCCGTCGTTTCAAGTCATAATACAGCTTTCTGTTTTCTCTGTGCTACTTCAGTATTCTTTTTTTTGCTTCTTTAATTAGTTTTTCTATATCACCCATTTTAAATTCTGGGGCTCTTTGTTGCACATAAAATAATTTATCTAACGGCGTTATAATCTTTCTGCCTAAAAATAACTCAGCAGGAGTTTTGCCCGTTGTATCATGTTTTGCGGTCCTAAGGGCGAAAGCAAATTCATTGACATAGTTATCCCAGCTTTTATGAAAATTTTTAACATAACTACGGATAATTTTCACTATATTTCTATTGACCCGTTCCGCTATATTTGATTGCGGCGGCCGATACGGGACCATTTTTAAATGACGTATGCCCAGTTTTTGGCACATGTCTTCAAATATATTACTTACAAATTGAGGACCATTATCCGATATAACTTTTAGGGGCGCCCCGTATTTTAAAATATATTTATTTAAAATAGAATCAGTAACTAATTTCGCGGAGGCTCGTTTTAAGGGAACAATTTCGGTCCATTTACTAAAATGATCAACCATAACAAGGAGATAGCGACTTTTATTTAACTGACTTTTTGGGAAAGGGCCCAATAAATCGATGCCAATTATTTCATTTGGAAATTCGGATTTAATACTATTTAGAAACCCGGCCGGGCGGAAATTAATATAATTAACTGCTTGACATGTTGGGCAGGACTGGACATACGCCCTTGTTAACTTTTGCAGTTCAGGAAAGTAGACTGCCTCGCGTACGCGTTGGATAGTTTTTCGAATACCAGCATGAGAAGCTAAAGGGCTGTCATGGAGCTCCTGCAGGATATTTAATCTAAGACTAGCTGGGATAACAGGTCGAAATTCGTTGTTGGAATTCGTAGTTTTTTGTATAAAATAATAGACCATCTATTAGTTCGTAATGGGCCGCCCTATTTCTTATCGCCACAATATCTTGGTGGCTAAAATTTTCAGGATCCTTTAAATACTCATAAATGCTTCCAAACTCAGGATCCTTACCCAGTTCGGTTATTACAGTTTCTCGGGAATTTATTGTACATGCTGTGAGCATTGCCACCTTTACGGTAT